CTTGATGCACGTCATTTTTTTTTTCGGATCAAGTTCGAAATGGCCGACTGGCGGCCATTTTGTTTTAAAGAATTCAGTTCTGGATCTGTATCCGAGACATGTCTGGATTGATCAAGTTCAAACTTCACACACACAAGGTACATCATGTCACAAATATGTATGTGCATTTGTTTCATGATCTCATTAACGATAGCCAAATGGCGGCCACTTTAAGGCCGAAAATGCATTGAAATCGCACATTTTCACCATTCCGGACACGGATCTCAGTTATGCATGGATGGATTTCATTCAAATTTGGTACATACATTAAACATAATAGGACCTTGATGCACGTCATTTTTTTTTCCGGATCAAGTTCGAAATAGCCGACTGGCGGCCATTTTGTTTTAAAGAATTCAGTTCTGGATCCGTATCCGAGACATGCTTGGATTGATCGAGTTCAAACTTCACACACACAAGGTACATCATGTCACAAATATGTATGTGCATTTGTTTCATGATCTCATTAACGATAGCCAAATGGAGGCCGCTTTAAGGCCGAAAATGCATTGAAATCGCACATTTTCACCATTCCGGACCCGTATCTCAGTTATGCATGGATGGATTTTGTTCAGATTTAGCACAATGTGTTGTACATATGCAGGTGCATTTCGGTCATGATCTGCTTTGAATGTATATGTCACTCAAATATGAACGGAACGGGGACGTGTCATTGACAATGACTTGTTGTTCAGGGAATGGTGGGTACAGTTTCGGAGCTTCGGAGTGCAATGAACCAGATGGTCCAGATCGAATCTGCTAGCCAGTTGGCCACTGCCAAGGGTAAACGGAGGGCGCCCCAGCACAGAAAACACAACACCACATACCCGTCCACAGGAGGGAAGAGTAGAGGCGCACCCCCAGGGAGGAAGGGACCAGGTGGTGGCTCCTCAGCCTCCTAGAGTGGTTATCTACCCTGGCAATGGGGGAAGCATGTTTGACGCTTACCTTTGTGACCGAGGGGACAGGCATGTGTTCGGCGAGTGGCCAGGTCACAACTTAGTGACTACCGCAGGCCTTGGGGAAAGTCACCCCAAGGGAGAAGAGAGCACCAACACCTTGCATCTGCCGAACCCATGGCCAGTGTAGTCCGGTTTGGAGGCAGCAGGTGACCGATCCCTGGACTTTCCAGGTAGTGACATTCTGTTACCGTATACTGCTGAAATCTCCATCTCCGCTGTCAGTGTCTCCCCTATTGAGCACTGCCAGGGGATTCCCGCAAGGTGGAAGCAATCAGACTGGAAGTAGACAGTTTGCTGGAAAAGAGCGCCATACACAAGGTAGATCAGCCGGCATTAAGTCCAAGCTTATACTCAAATGTGTTCGTAGTACCAAATCTACAGGTGGCGGGCATCCAGTTCTGGACCTAGGAAGACTGCATCAGTACGTTCTCCTCAATCGGTTCCGCATGGAGATGCCATTCAGCGTTCTTCTCTCCATCCACTGTTTCGACTGGCTAGTCCCACTAGACTTAAACGAGTTGCCATCTCCTTTGAATCGCCCAGCTGGGCCAAGTATTTGAATCTCAGGTGCCCCCTCTCCTCGGATTATGCACAACCCCCTACATTCCACCAAAATGCATGGAACAGGTGGTGCTGCTGCTTCACCAAACGTCAGTACACATCAATCCGTACCTGGTTATTACATAAATCTAACAAGGGATTAGCCAAGCAAGTAAGGCTAGCACAGGATTTACTTCACCAGTTGGGCTCTTTAGTAAATCAGACAAGTCCCATCCCTACCCAACGCAACAGTTGGTGTTCCTGGGCATGGAGTTTGAGTTAAGCTTGGTACAGGTATTTCAAGTGTTCAAAATAGTCATTTTGACTGACCAGAGTCTATGGTGGGTAATTTAATGTAGTGAATTTAGGCAGAGGGTTCTCCACCATAGACTCTGGGTCCCCCAACCACCCCACTCTTTCTGTAGTGTTGGTCTAAGTCATTGATGCAGAGAGAAAGGAACCAGAGTGAATATCCAGCCGCAATGGCGCCACCATATGGCCTCGTCACGTGGTTTGTGGCGTAAGAGAAAAGAATCTTGGGGTCATGGGGCTCCCCCTGACCTAGATTCTATCATTTTGACTGACCAGAGTCTATGGTGCATATATGAACTAGGTGGGTTGAAACCCCTCTGCCTAATTCTGAACTTTTGAAGCTTGGCCAAATGTCAAGGTTTTGAATTGTATAGCTGAATGTCAGTTCTTTCTGAACTATTGAAAAACTGGGCAAGATAGGTTGGAACCATGATTTTGATATGAGGAGCTATTGGCTATAACCATACTATATGAGAGATTAAGGTAGCGGGACTATTATTTGCATACTTGTGTTCATCTTCTAATTGTGATAAAATGACTACAAATAAACCCGGGAAAGTATATATTTTTAGAATCGCCACACTTCAAGCTTTGCAAAGGTGTGTGTTTAAAAAATAGTGTCCTGAATTTCAATTACTGTTTTAGTCGCATTGCCCCCAACTCAAACCACAACTCGTTGGTAAATAATCGATGAAATAGTTTGTCTGGACACATTCTAGTTCCTCTCACTGTCACCTTAAAGCTGTGAAAATTTGGTGTTAATCCGACGAC